TTCAAAATGGCCATATGCGTGCTGAAAAGCCGAGGATCCAGTAGTGGTTAAAGGCCTGGAGCTCACTGCACTTGGTGATCTGAGTCCATGGTAAAAAGCTGAAAAGTTTGTGTTGGATGGCTGAAGCGTCCACACTGGAAACCTGGAAGAACTGGAGATGAATGTCCAAAGACAATGGCAAAGAAAAGAGGAAGCTTCCTCCTCCTTTCCCTTTTCATTCTGTCTAGGTTCCGGGCCTGCCGGATGGTCCTGGGGGATCTTCCTGCCTCATTTTGCAGGCTCCATGTGGACATGCTCAGCATTTTGCTAATCAGCTAGGCAGTTCGTATTCAAGTCAGGTTGACATCGCGATTAATGATCACGGTCTATGATCCCATCACCTTCCAAACAAATCGTGAGGGATATTTTAGACCTAAACCATAACAACCTCCTTCCCAAAGGCCCGAAGTCAGATTTACTAAGTAAGGCTATTTCTAACAGTGTCATGGCTAATTAGAAAGCACAACCATCAGTCCAAGTTTCTGATGGGATGTCAGAAGCATAGTGAATAAATAGAAAGTAAATAGCCATCATCTGCCTGGCGAGAAACTTCAGGATCATTCCAGACCGTTCTCTGTGTCAGTCTCATAATGATCACTGAGGCTGGTACTTCTGGAAACTCCTCCTGTGGGCTGGGCCTATGGAAAACCTCTCTGGCTTTTCTGCCTGGTCAGGCCTCCCTCCAGATTGTGCTCCTGGTTGACTTTTCCTGCCACTCCTCATGTGTTGGTAAGAACCTTCAGTGTTGGTGAAGGTAGTGTTGTGAGTGTGATATGCCCCTGCTCCCTACTTCCAGAAGGATGAGGACCCCACTATGGTAAGATGTGAGGCCTACTTGGAACCAGAATCTATACCTTCTTCCTGGGTCACCTTGTGCAAACCACTGAACCTCTCTGTGCCTCAGATTCCTCCTCTAGTTGGTACAGATCTGCTTAGGTTGGCTCTTGAATGTCCTTTCAGGCCATATGTTGAAGGCCTGGCCATCAGCCTGTGGTGCTGATGGGAAGTGGTGGACCTTTAGGAGGTGGGGACTTGTGGAAGGAATTTAGGTGACTGGGGCTGTGCTCTTAGTGGGGATATCTTCCCCTCTCCCTTTGCTTCCTAGTTGTCCTGAGGTGAGCCGCCATCCTCTTCCTCACGTTCTACCCATGCTGTGTTTTGCTTTCACAGTCCCAAAGCAACCAGGCCAAGCAACAACCATGGCCTGAAACTTCTGAAACTGAGCCAAAAGAAACCTTCCTTCTCAGCTGCCTTGGGTATTTTGTCACAGTAATGGAAAACTGACTAGCGCAGGGCTTCATAAGGTTGTCACAAGGAGTAAGTGAAGAAGTAAAGAACTTTACACAGCACTGGGCCCTGGTGGCCTTGGCATATCTTCTTCATGCAGGGACTGGCTGAACGTGTGCTGTGGAAGGAGACCCTGCCAGCGGAGTGTGCTGTGTTCATCAAACGTTTTGGGTGCTCATCCCTGTCACATATGAAGGAAGAATGAGGTCCTAGCCTGAGCCCCGCATCTGGCTCCTTTGCCCAACTCTTAGAAATCACCGTAACTGGGTGTGATGGAGATGTAACAAAGACTACTGAATCATGCAGAACGGGGAAGATCACTTTAAATCTGTTTCCCCAAATTGCATTATTTTAAATGCCCTGGGAGGATGCCCACGTGTGCAGCAACACTCAGCCGGGCCAGAGCTGCTTTGTCTCCTTGAAAGGCTCCATTGTGACCCCATGCCGGCCCCATTGATTCAAGGAACAAGAGGCCCTTGTGTGAGCCATGTAGGCTGGCTCGCTCTGGCCTATGGCTGGCAATGTGAAGCCTTCACTGCTGCTGTAAGGTCAGGCAGGCAGACCTGTAGTCCCGGAGAGGGCAGCCTTGCAAAACAGGCCTGAAACCTGCAGGCTGCAGGAAGCCAGGGTCTTTGAGTTAGGATCCAGAAGCTGATGCAGTCCAGTTCCTAGTAAGTGGGCAGAGCCAGTGGGACCTACTGTGTGCAGTGTGGGATGCTGGGAGATTGGCTATGGGGGGATGAACACAGTGGACTGAATCTCTTCCTGGACCACTCTGTCCTGCATGGAGAAGGCCACCAGGAGGATGCCCCATGAAGCAAGGGGCCATGGCCGGGGATGTGGCAAGTGAGAGCTCCAAATATCCAGGCTGGATGCCTTGCTGTGTGGCCCCTGTCCCTCCCATGACACTGTCCCCAAGGGCCACAGAAAGCAGGAGGAAGGGTGCTGATGCACCAAGCCACTGTCTGGTCTAAGTCTCACTAGACCACTCCAATGTCATAAATGTCACAGAGGCCTGGCTCCACTCCCAGAAGCCCCTGCCAGCTGGCATCTGTCCACTATAAGGTTTCTGGAGAGGCTGGAAGGCAAACCTGCAGGAAGACAGGTGGGCTGGGGCAGCCCATGTTTGTAGAGTGCTGGCCCTGTGACATCTGGCACCTGATCAGGTGCTGAAGTTCCTTGTGTCCTTGGAGGGAGTCATGGAGCAGGAGGCCCTCTGCAGTGACCGATGAGGCCTGGTCAGTCCAATAACCCCTTGTGAAGCTGGGCCTGAGCCTTGGAGGAGGTGACAGTGGAGCAGTTGACTCCAGTTTGGTCTCCTCTGCAAGCCCTGGCTCTTGGTCACATCTTGGATGTTTGCCGCCTTGTAATCCTTAGCGCCTTTCTTCTGTAACAAAGGAGCTTCTTTTCAGGCTCCTGGTTATTCACCTCCTTTACACAGTATCTGCTGGACATGGGGCTGCAGATTGGGACTCAGGAGCCACCTGGCCTAGTACCAGAGCCTCTAGTCTTCTTGAAAGGTGACCAAGACCCATGCCCACTGACATGGCCTGTGCAGACTTGCTGGTGGTCTGCAGGTATCATGTCCACAGGAGGTCTGTGTCCTTCTCAAGAGGCTGGAGGATCAGCCCTACAGGAGTAAGTGAGCTCAGGGCTCCCAGTCCATCTGTAAACATACAGAGCTTACAGGGTGCCCTAGGTGTCGTCCCCAAGACACCAAGCAAGATGGCGATGCTGCTATGAACTGAATGTGAGCTGCCTGACCTTGGATCCAAGTTAATGTCATCACCAGGCAGCATCTCCAGAGAATCCATCTACCTGCGGGGTGACCTAGTATACACCCCAGACCACACCCAAAGCCATGGATGGACTGTGCAGCAACAGGAGCTTGGGGCAGAGACCAACCCTGTCCTGCAGGCCTCTGCGGTATCAGCATACGCAAGGTACCCACTCATGCCGCAGGCCCAGTACCTTGTGGCCACAGCCCAGCAGACTTCTGATATGTCCCCCATCTCTACCCCTTCCTCCCCAGGCAGTGGGTTCCCAGAGGAGGGTGCCCTTAGCAGGTGGGGTCACCTGGCAGCACTGAGCGCAGGGTGCACAGAGCCGCACTGATCAGACAAGGTGGGCGGAGTTTAGAGGCGGCAGGGGGAGGGGAAGCAGTGCCGGCCCCTTGGCACTGAATTCACATCAGATGCAGTTCAGGTGAGAAATGGGGACACGACACTGCAGATTTCACAGATGACTCTGGGCAGAAGGAACGAGAAAGCCGCAGCAGAGAATCATCTACAAAGGCTTTGGCTCATCAGGATTTTAAAGCTGGATCAGTTTGAAGCTGATATTAAAAAAGAAAGTCTGTGAGCTTCTTTAAATGATTAGAATTTTGAAACATTGAGAACCCTAGGAAAAATCAACTAACTTCCCCCCCTCTCCTTTTCTTCCCCTTTTTTCTCTCTCTTCTTTTCTTTCCTTCCTTCCCTCTTCCTCCTGTCTTTCCTTCTTTGCATTCTCTCTCCCAAAAGGAGGTTGATCAGCAGTACTGGTTTAGTGTACTTTGGTTAGGGCAGTTTTATTGAAGAAGAAAAAAATAACAGACTTTCCTGAACACTCACTGTAGATTTTGTTAAACATACACATTTCCTGTTTTTAAGTTTAATCTTTTTAGAAAGACCCTAGTGAAACCTCTTGCTCATGATTTACTATGAAATTTTGGCTATGTTAAGTAGACTCACTGGAAGTGGTCAGGTTTTGGTACCAGTGATTCTGGGGTAACTTAGGACCCGAATTTGTCAAAGATCCAGTTTAGGGCCAAGGGCTGAGCTCAGGGGTAAAGCATTTGCCCAGTGAGGTCAAGGCCCTGGATTTGATTCTTCCCAGTTGGGTCAAAAAGAAACAAAAGCCCCACAAAGACTCAGTTAATCCTGGGAACAGATGGCAAACTGGGCAGGGAGGAAAAATGTCAGCTAGTTAAACCCTTTGCCTGAGGTTCGAATCTTTGCCTTCCTGGCTGCTGGCAGTAGAGTCCCCTCTCTGGAATGTCATCCACTTCCTCAAGCCCTGGGATGAAGGGGATTTTTAAATAGAGCAGCTGGGCTTTCCAGATTCGTAAGTGGTGTCTTCCTTCCTAATCATTTTAATAACCCATCTCCTTTCAGCCCGATGTTTCATACTCAAGAGGTGGCATCCGCTGTCTGTCCCTGGAATCTTTCATTCTGTAGCGGGTCCTTTCTGTTCCTATGGGGTGGCCCAAGGATGTCCCTAAAACTAGTTGTTTACATCACGAATGGGAACAGAAGACAGGGTGCATGGCCCAGGGTATTTTGGATCAGCTTTACAGAGAGTGAGAGGAAATGTCTATACCCAGCTTTCCTTGGGCTTAAGGAAATTCTAATTGAGCAGAGATTGCTGGGCTCAGGGTGGGGGTGGCCCTTGTTCAGGTTCCACGCAGTGGGGAGTGGTCTCCATAGATGTTGCTAGGAGGAGGGGGCTGGGGATGGCCCAGGAGAGAGCTCTAAGGACAGTGGCTGAGTACACAATGTCCTCTGAGCTGTCACTTGAGGCTCTCTCTTGAGATTCAGGTTAAATCGAAGGATTCCTCAGAAAGAAACCTGACAGGATGGTGTTCTTGACACTGGAAAAATTGAAACCAAAACCCAGAAAATACTCCACAAAAGTAGTGAACATAAAGGCACTTTATAAAGTACTCCAAAGGGTTATTTTCTTCCACCATAGACATTCGGAAACTTCTGTTGAATTTCAGTCCCTATGACATGCAGAACCTCCACGAAGAATGCAACATGCCCTCAATGGTGTGTGCAGAAGAGCCTGTGGAACATTCCAGAAGGTGCTTCTCAAGCTCTGGTCTGGGGGTCAGCAGGGGACTGTTGTTTCCGTCACAGGTTATGTCCCACCCCCATCGGCCCCTTTCACAGACAGGAAGTAGCTAAGAAGACAGCTCAGTAGCTGGAAGTTAAACACAGCAAGCCCCCAAGCCCTGATGCAAAAGTGTGGGAGAGTAAACACGTGACTGCAGAAGCAGAGCCTTTCCTTTTTTTGCTTGGAGTTTGTTTTCCTTTTTTCCCCATCATGGAGCGTGTGTCTGTGTTCTACAAAGTTAGATTGGAAGACGGGCTCATGAGTTAACACCATTCTGGGTTTTTAGCTCAATTCCACGTCTTTACGAAGACTTCCATCTGATTAACGAGAATATGGCATGGATCACGTAGAGCAAAGTGGCTACGTAGGAAAACACCTGAAACCAAAAAAAGAAAGGACCATTAGCAGCAGGAGGGGCAAGGTAGGGCTGCCCACACTGTTAAAGCGTGCTACACGCACCGTGCTTACACATGCACACACATTCTTTCTCGTGGAGCTCAGATGTGCAGCATCTGGTGATCTAGCTGATGATCCCTTGGTCTTGGTGTGCAAGGTCAAAAGACCTGCTGTCACACCGTGTCACACAGGGCCCAGCTGGCTGGAATTGAGGGCCTCCAGAGGCCGCTCCATCAATGACCCTCCATGGAAAACTTCTGTTTCTCATGCCAGAGGGATCAACACCCACCAGCATGGCCCAGTGCTGGGCTGTGAGATTATGAACACACAGGCTCGCTGGCTCCCTGGAGATCCTCAGACCCTACTGGAAGACTCTTAGTCCAAGATTCTTCATTTCCCAGGTAGGGGACCCAGCCTCATGGGAAGCAAAGGTCAGGGAGCAGGGGGAGGAGCCAGTGAGTCGGGTGTGGGGGTACCTCACTGTGATCCCAGCACTCCAGGAGGCTGAGGATGGAGGATCCCAAATTTGAGCTCAGCCTGGGTGACTTTGTGACTTTAGTGAGACCCTGTCTCAAAATACAAAAACTTATTTAAAAAAGGATGTAGCTTGGTGAAAAGGCTCTGGGTGCAGAAAAAAGACAAAGGAAAGAAAGAGAAAGGAAGACAGAGAGAGAGAGAGAGAGAGAGAAAGAGAGAGAGAGAGATTCACTGAGGAAGTTGTTGGAGTGAAGCAACCAGCCATTGGGCACCAGGAACAAAAGCCCTGAAAACATGGTCACTTGTGACTGGTTCTGGTCACCCCGACACCTCTTCCGACACCTTTCTTTGGGTGGCTGTTTTATAGGCTCGCCTGCCTATAAAAGTAATAGCTGCACCTGGTTTCATGACCTTGGGCAGGGAGCTAAGAATTTCCAGTGTGGGAACATTTGGGGCAGCTACGCCTGTGTGACTCTTGAAAATGCCCATAAACACCAGTCACCCTGAGGCCACTCTCTCCCTGCCCCCATGCATGGGTGAACACTTCACCCTCATTGGCTACAGGCGATGAGTAAGCTGAGTTATTTAATAACAAATTCAAGATAACTCAGAGTACCCCGTCCAGCAAGGAGCTGTCACGCATGAGTGAGCAGCCCTCCAAAATCAAATGAGACATCTCGGCCCAAGGAGAAGCTTTGGCAGAAGTACCTCATGTGTCCCAGCAGGAAACAGAGACCTAGTTATTATAAATGAGGTAGAGAAATGACACACTGAGGACATTCTGAGCTGGTGGCTTGTGGGGCCATGTTTTGGCCTTTTCTCTGAACTGCTGCCCTTATTGTACACCATGGTAAGATCTAGAAACTTCCAGATTTCTCCAGAAATCTCCAGTTCTTTCCACCAATATCCAGGCCTGCTTGGGTGAAGAAGTTCTGCAACCAACAAAGGAGAGAGGGAGGAAGCTCAGCTTCTGAGACTGGTCCTAACCAGAAACACAAAGAGGCCATGACACGGGCTGGATGCTTCCGAAGGGCAGGGGCATAGGAGAGTGGTTATGAGGTGCCCCAGACCTGCATATTCCCCACTATCCAAAAGTCATGTAGTAGTCGGGCAGGATCAGGAGTTAAATGCAGAGTAATGGTGACACCTTCTTCCCCACCTACGGATCCAGTTTATTTTTAATGGAAATTGAAATATGTTGAGTTTGGTTCACATTTCACCTTGGGCCTAATCAGCTTGGGGAATCTGCCTCCTGAGACTGTCCTAAGGTTTGGCACAAGTACTCCTGACTTTGCCCACTGTGCTCCTGTCTGTCCAACTCCTCTAACCAAGCATGGGAACACAGTCCAAGGCGGAATGGATAAACAGATGTCGCTACACAGTGAAATACTGTGCAGCAATGAGAAAAAACAACCTATACCTGTGTCCAACCACATGGATGAATCCTCAAACAAGGCTGAGGGAAAGAAGCCAGACGTGAAATAACGTACCCTCTCCCATCCCAATTACGTGAAGTTGGGCAGCAGTCAACTGGGTGCTAGAATTCCAAAATCAGCTGCTGGCAGAGATGACAGAACAAGGGGTGGATTTCTGGGAGCTGTTTGTTGTATCCTCTTTCTGAACCTGGACCTAGCTACACAGATGGGCACTTCCTGGCCGTTTGTCAAGCTGTACACGGGTAATCCATGTGGTCCCACGGTGTATGTTGTCATTCAGCAAAAAGTAAGAGAAAAGTTGGAATTCGGTAGAGCCCAGTGGTTCTCAACTAGAGACCTTCCCTGGGCATAGGGGCATTAAAACCTCTAACCTAGGTTTTCTCACTAAGTGTCAACTACTGTCTATATCCCATCTACGCTGTGCTACCATTGTGCACAGCAATGTTACGAGGATTGTCAAATGCTTTGCTGATGCCCGTTAAGAAGGAAGCTCTGGGGCTGGGGATTTAGCTCAGTGGCATAAGCGCCTGCCTTGCAAGCAGGCAGTCCTGAGTTCAATCCCCGGTACCGATAAAAAAGACAAAAAAAAAAAAAGGAAGCTCTGAGCTCAGGATGGGAGAGTTGTCACGTGATCTACGAGAGGGAGCTAGAACTGAGTCATGTGACAGAGGATGCAGGAGAGGTGGGGCAGCGGCTTCCCAGGCCAGGAGGAGCAGCCAAGAAGCTGCCCGGCTGGTGACTGTTCAGAAACTGGCCACACTGGGAGATGTCCCCACACTGGGAGGCACATCAGGGATGACTGGGATCCCAAGGTGGCCAGGTAGAGAGGCAACTGTAGGCTGGAGCTCAGGAGAGCGTGAGGCTTCCTAGGACAGGAGACTGGCCCGGGGACAAGGGTCTGTGAAGCTGTTCCCCAGTCCCTTCCCTCTGGGAGACCCCCACCCCAGAGCCCACCCACGCCCACTGTGGGGCTTCACTCAGCCCCTACTCCATCCATTCCCACAGGAGCGGGCACAGCAGGGCAGAGGAGTGGGCCCTTGGTATCTGTTGCTGCATTCGCCTTCATATCTAGATGACTCTGAGGTCAATTTCTAGAAATCTGGGAATGTTTTCTGAAAATTTTCTTATTTTTGGAACACTACCCACAGTCAGAAATATGCTCGCTATTGTGAGCTAGCCCACAGGTCTTTGGCCCACATGCATAACTCTGGAAAGAACGCTCTCGTGACAATAGTCTCTCACTCTGTCATCCCGAGCCATCCCATTAAAAGACAACCCAGGCCATGACTGTGTGCGCCCAGGGATGGACGGGTGACATTGGTGGGTCATCCAAGCTTGCCACAGCAGCTTGTGGGGTGCCATAGCTTCCTGTCTCAGGGGCTCTGTTGGGTCAGAAATGAGGGGAGGGTGTGGCTTCGTTCCAAAGTTACTGAGCTCCAGGGAGGGGCGGCTGGGCAGCCCATGGCCAGTGGGTGCAGGTGTGGGTGGTGGGGGGACTCACCACAGCAGAGATGTTTTCGTGGTACTGCTTGTAGGTGTAACCGTCTCGCGTGAGGATGGTGGCCAAGGCTTCCAGGACTGAGGCGCTTAGGTAAAGCAGAGCAGCCACACAGTTGTAGGCTGCGTCCTGTGGGTCAGAAAGGGCGGATGTAAGGGAGATGAAGAGAAAGGGACACTGGCTTAGACATGGCTCAGGTCTCATCTTTATCTCCTACTACTTGAGTCCCAACCCCCGTACCCCCAAACCCTCCCCTCTCAGAAGTGGGATGAACAGTGCTGTCCAGCTGAACTGTGTTTCTGGGGTTTGGGGACCCAGAGTACATGCTTGGCTGGAGAAAGGGCATTGCTTTCCCTTGAGGTGTGGAGTCAGCTGAGAAGCTGGCTGACACCCCTGGGATATGACCTGGGATGGGTCACACACATGTGCAGCCCGCTTGTCTGTTACAGGGGGAGAGAGACTGAGGCCTCTTTCCTTATTTTTATGTTTTCATTGATTTTATTTGTTTATTTGGGCTCCTGGTATATTTTGAAGCAAAAAAAGAGAACTAAAACATAGTTTTGAGTAGTTGTATTTTGGAAGTGATTTCAAAAGTCTAACTAAGAAGCTTTTAGGGAGGCAGAGGACTCTGAAGCTGAAGGTGTGTCTTTTATCAGTGTCCTTTCCCAAGGCTCCAGAGTAGGATTTGTACAGAAGAAAGACCATGGGTCATGTGGGTCCCACAATCCTTTCTGACAGCTGTGCTTGGAAGGTGGCAGCTGGAAACCGGGCAGTGAGCTCAGCCGACCCCTGGAGAGTCATCAGCTGAGGGTCAACACTGGGACCTTGCTGCTCCAAGAGAGAACCAGCCCGCAGCGGGCTGGCAGGTGTAGTGGGTAGGGGGCAGGGGCGGGGCTGCCACTTGTCAGTACAAAAACAGTTAAGGGAGACAAAACAGAACAGCCTGATGTGACTTGGCAGCAGACCTGTCACCCCCTCGCTCCATCTTCTGACCTTCTTGTTGCAGGGAGGCTTGGGCCAGATCATTCCTGGGATGTGTGGGGAGGCATCCACGGGCAGCCCCACCCAGGCCAGAGATTCCGGGCTCCCAGGGCAGCAGAGGGTCCAGTACTTCCTCCCCCTCCAAATGCACTAGACTGGAACTCACCAGCGTGACCCAGGATATCTCCCCGCCGTGGGCATTAATCATGTACAGGATGAGCAGGGCCGTGGTGGCCACGAAGCAGAACACAGACACGAACATCACCCAGCCCTGGATCAGGGGGATGGGCACCCGGGAGGCGGCCACCAGGATCCACACCAGGCCCCCAAAGACCTGCGAGGGGAGAGACAGGAGCACTGTGGGAGGAGGAAAGCACAAGTTCCCAGAGACCTCCGGCACCTAGATCAAACGGGGCCCTAGAAACACAGGAAGAAACATAGGGAGGAGGCAAAGAGAACAGGACAAGGGGTTCTCACCAAAGTAACTCTCATCCTAGAATGTCCTAGGCTAGAGATCTTCCTAATTCCAGTTTTTCCAAGTCCCTGCTGGCCCGCTTTTTGTATGTCTTAAAAAGAATCTTAATTTATTTACACTTATGTACCAAGCACTGTCCTAAGCACTTTGCAGATTGAACTCAGTTAATTCTTAGACCAATACTAGGAGAGAAGAACTAACTTGTCAAATGGAGAAACTCAGGCAGATGGTAGCAAGATTAACTTGTCATTCCAAGGAAGAATTTAAAGCATCCAATATTATCATTAGAAAGACTAGTTTTTTTATACAATCTTATTGTTTCTCCCTTGCTTTGCTGTTAAAATATTCTTTCTTTTATGAAATGGTAGCAAATTCTTTACCACACCATTCTTAGTTTTGTTGTTGTTGTTGTGGTTTGTTTTTTAGACTTGACCCCTTGTTGCTGACTTCAGGAAGTGCTCTGACCCTTAGCATTGAGGTTGGAGTGCAGAGAGCCTGGCTTGGTCCTGTCCTTTCTAATGACCAAGGACAGCGGTGAGACAGCACACTGAGGTCAGCCAGACAGCACCAAAGCTCAGGTTCCCAGGGCCAGTGAGCAGCTGTTCTCAGAGAGGAGCACAGGCCAGACATGGGGCCACTAACACTTTGGTGGTCCAGGCACCCCAGCGCTGGGATTTTCTCTACTTCTCCTTGTGGGACATCAGCTCAGCCTCCTCCACTTGTCCCCTGCCCAGATAAGGACTGGGCTTGGACCCGTGTGCAGAAGACTCCACAGTCAGTGGTCTCCAAGGTACTGCAGAGCACGTGGGGCTGAGGGCTCCTGGGCCCACACTTGCTGTGATGAGAACTCACCAGTATCCTGAGCCCATCTCCCTGGATCTGCTGCCCACCTGCTGGTCAGAGATACCACTGTCTTTCCAAGTGTCTTCTGAGCCTCTTCACTGGGTAACATCAGCAGAGAGTCACAGTTGGATAGAAAAATCAATGCCATGGAGAATCTGGATTTATCCAGACCAACTGTGCCGAATGAATCGGGTTTGAGCATCTCTGACCAGGTAAACTTCCCCCACTGAGGGACATTTCATCGTCTGAAGTCATGGGACAGAGGCAGGGGAACACGCTGTATGCTTGCTTTATAAAAAGTAGAGCAAAATCAACTCAAGAAGAATCTTAGACTGCCACAGAAGGAGACGGGCGTGCAGATTTTATCCAAAGTTGAGTTTGAGACCAGAATTCAAACCTGGCTCTTTCCTTCATGAAACTGGTGAAGGGAAGTGCACATGTAATGGGCTAAGCAGATCCTGGGTTTTCAAGGTGTGAGAATGGCCTGGAGACATGGGAGGGTCACATTAGTGGATGTGGAGAAGCCTGGCCTGGGACATCCCTCTAGTCCTAAGCCATCCATGGGCCCATCCAAGGGGTCAGGGGAAGGCAGGTTCTCAGTTCATCTTTTCCTGTGTGTATCCTCTGCAGACCTCAGCTTGGACACCCGTTATATCTGGTGAGTGGCAAAGTGGCACTGTCCTAGACCATGGGGTGGTGGGTGAACTGCTCATGGCAGCTGGCTCCCTGGGGGACACCAGGAAGACCCAGCCAGCTGTTTCCTGTCTAGGCTGGTTAAGTGGCCCTCAGTCTGCTGGTAGATGTGTGCGGTTAAGTTAAAATGACTTAGTTTATCCCCAAGGAGAGGTTTGGGCTACCTGTCTTGGAGGAGAGCACCCCTTTCTGCAATTTCTGCGGAATCTAGTGGGTCAGGGGTGCTCATGGAACCAGTGCACTTGATGCTGAGGACCTGGAAGCCGTCCCAGGGGAACAGTTCTCTGTCACCCTTCTTGGCCATTCTGGCCAAGTGAGAAGGGCTCAGGGTGAGGCTAGGAGTCTGGAACTCTCTCGGCACAGGCAGGCAGAGGGGCATGGGACAGCAGTACTGTTCTTAAGTTCAGGGTAGCAACATCACAATTTGGGGGAGGGGATTTAACTGTCAAATGCATGCAAGTAAATAAATGCCCATGGGACATGGATGTGGCAATCTGAGACGTGGCTTTCACTGCTTGGTCCGTGGAGCCATCTTGCTTTACCTCTGCTTGCTCTGATTCCCTGAGTGGCCTGAGAAGGGCTGGGATTCAAGGACAGGACAATGAATGAAGTCAGAGTGTGGGGACACCAGTTCAAATGCAAGCTTTGGCTCTGAGCTCAGTGACTGCGCTGGCAGGAGGAAGTGTTGGCCTGACTCAGCCTTGGGTATCTGTTTGCTCCAGTCTGATGAAGGCTGTTTGGGCTTCTTGGAAAATGCGTTCTCTGTCTTTCTCTCTGTTCTCTCTGCCTCTGGCTCTGCCTTTCTCTTTCTCTGTCTTTGTCACACACACATGCATACACACATGCACACATACACGTGTTCCCACTTTCATGCAGATCTCTGGAGTCCACAATCAGCACCCCTGCCCACAGCTGCCCATGGGACAATCCACCTGGATGTAAACCCAACCCCTGGCCCCAAGTGGCCCTCAGGACTGTCTATGGCCTTGGATCCCTCATCCTGCAGAGAAATCCTTTTACATTTTAGATGGTCTTTACTTTTCTTCTTTGCATGCTTTATCTACAGCAGTAGGTTTCATGGCAAGATGGTGGGGAAACGTCTGTCTTTTTAAAACAGCTACGATGAGATGTAATTCACATAGCGTGCGATTCCCCTACAGAGAGTTCACGATTCAATGGTGTTCAGTATAGTCACAGATATGGGCAAACATCACCACAGTCAACGTTAGAACATTTTTCATCATCTAAAAAGAAACCTGTAACCATTAGCCATGGCTCTCCTCCCTGCCCCCAGCAACCACTAATCTGCCGCCAGGCTCTATAGGGTTCCCTGTCCTGAATTTTCCTTGTGAGTGGAATCACATACAAGACGGACTTTGCGACTCATTGTGTCTTCAAGGTGAGAAGCTGTCTGTCATGGGACGCTTGCCACACATCTCTACCACTGCAGAGCCCATGGTCTTTGAGGGGTGTCTCATCATCTATAAGCCAGAGAGAGCCTTGGAACCACTGCTTCCCAGACATTCTTACAGGAAAGGTGTCCTCATCCGTCCCAGGATCTTATGTTGCACCTTACATGGAGGTCATCTCCTCAGCAGGGATGAAATCATTACAACCCCGGGGCTTTGCTCCCGGAAGATGAACAACAGGACTCTCCTATGATCCTTATGCCCTGCCCAGGAGGTGGCCAGGGCAGGGCATGGCACACAGGGCCACCACCTCCACAGGATGGAACCATGGGAACACCTTGGGAGGGGGGCTGAGGTGGTGCACAGCAACCCTGAAGTAATGAGGAGGAGGAAGGGGACACAGACAAGGGCAGGGCTGGCCTGAGAAGCAGAGATCACTTCCGTCTCAGCTGGCCATGGACGCGTGCCCCTTACCGTTGGAGAATGGTCCTCTATGCTCGGGTCACTGATGGAAAGTGCGCTGGCAGCTGTGACAGCTGGGGTGACCAAAGGCTTCCTGTGCATGTGTGGCTCTGTGGTGTCTCCTGCGACATTTGCAAGGAGTCCCATGGTGGGGACTGAGGCAAGAGATCCAGCTTCTCCAGCCTCGACTTCCTCACACCCAAATGCCAATTGGTCCATCTCTACCCACTTGAGGCAGAAACCAAAGATGTGAGTGGGAAGCTTCTAGCCCTGTGCCCAGCCCTACTCACTGACAGGGGATAAGATCCAGGGGGCTGACAGCCCAGCAGAAACAGGCCCATCAGCAGCCCCTTCTGGCCACCCCTTCATAGCCACAGGTTCCACAGCCATGGATTCAATCAACTGCAGAACAAAAGTATTACGGAAAGAAACTGCATTGGACTGAACATGGTACGGGCTTTTCCCTTCCCTGCTGTATTAAACTCCAAACCATTTATACCTCATTAGGGACTTTAAGTCACCTAGCGATTATTTAAGTGCACAGGATGATACACTTAGGTTACATAAAAATACTACCCTGTTCTTCTTGGAGGACTTGAGCATCCTGGGGATAACGGTGTGGTGGAAGCTGATAGCTTTCCCTGGGACAGGCAAAGCAGCCTGAACTGTGCACTGTGTCTCCTTGGGAAGAGACAGGCTCATCTGGGTAACAGGCCAAAGGGTCAGGCAGTGATGCTCCAGGGGGAGGACAGGCACAGGCTGACCCCAAAGGATTTAGAAGCTGCTGCGAGGCTTCAGATGACCGTGGAGCCAGGCACAGGTTGGACTGCGGCAGGCAGGAGAGGGTTCTGGGAAGGGTGAGCCACAGGAAGCTGAGATTTAGTGTGAATCACAGGGCCACAGCCACCCCACCCCACCTACTAAACGTAGAGAGAGCAAACAGAGTGGGCGCAGTACGCACACCTGGGAGATAAGGCACTCCCAGCCATGAGCAACCCGCATCAGCCCAGCCTTGGATCCTGATTGTCAAATATTTGTCAAGAGGGGTGGGGAGGGGTAGGTGAGGGTTCAAGATTTACCCTTGTAAGGGAAGCACTCGAGGTGGCTTCTGGCTTCTGGGCAGCAAGGGCTCAGAGGTCATTATTTTGAAGACATCATTCATCCAATAAGAGGCATGTTCCCCGTGTCCGCTCATCTCTGTCAAAGGCCATGCTGACTGTGTGTTAGATCAGCTAGGATGCCCTTTTTAAAAAAGCCCAAACCTGCTTCCCAGGCTCAGGCCCAGAGCCTGAGTCAACTGCAGAGAAGCAGGGAGAAGACAAGGAACAGAGGCCACGGCAACCTGTTTTCATGACACAGAGCCCTGAGTGAGGTTCTGGTAACTCCTGCCAAACAGAAGGCGAGATAGGTCCCATGGTAAATGTCTGCCTGGCTTTCCAGTAGTGATGGGGA